TGAATCAATCTTGAGCCTGTTAAAACAGTACTCTAGGCTGTGGGCAGAGTTTGCCTGCAATGCTTTAACCACTGTGCCACCAGGGCTCTTTATAAATAATCTTGAACTTAGTTTAATTTTTGAACTTAGTTTAATTTTTATTATACATTTTATCTCTTATTATCACCATAACAAAAAGGTAGTATCCTAAAAGTTAGACTATAAATAGATATAAATTTCCAAAACTAATTTAAATGTAGCGGAAGAGAGAGGGAAATGAAAACCTAGTCCTTTCCAAATCATACATCACTGTTTAATGCAAATAAATATGGTCCTAAACATGCAAATATGCAAATAAGACGTGCATTTTGCTGTTTCTAATTGGTTGCATTATTTAACAGAGATTAATAAATAAAGCATGAATTGCCCTGAGAGTCTTACAATGTTATCTTGGGTAGGGTTACTGTAACAATTCCAAGTTACGAAGCAAATATCTACCAGGGCTGCAATGATATGACAATCATCACTATGGGCAGGTGGAGGCATAAAAACCAAGCTTAAACACACTTACGTAGCAGGGACACAATTTACCTGAGTTCATTGCCTTCACCACCTCCCCCAAACCAGAACAGTTTAAAAGTACTTAATAGTACTTTTACAATTTAAAAGTACTTGCTGAATCGCACCTACACACCATTTTGAATATTTATGAACATAATATTAAGATTAACAAATCAGTATAAAGAAGCTTCATTACCCAGTCAGCATGGGGCAAATACTGTAGTTTGTGGGTAACCAAAACAATTGTTCTTTTGTCTGCTCTTAGCAAATTCAGAATTCCTTCTTGCATGAGATGATCACTCAAGTGGATATCTAATGCTGAAAATGGATCATCCTAAAAAAAAAAAAAGATGTTAACCAACTAAAGATATTCAGTACTACTGCACTATAATAGTTCTGTTTTAAAAATATTTTAAGAGAGTTAGTGCCCTGATCAAGATGGGTTGTGCTGGAATATAAGCCCTGGAACTAACCAATTTACAAAAACTAGATACGGTAAGAGAGAAAGAAGAGAATTCAAGCTACAATTCTCATTTTTCCAGCCCAAGGGAAAGGAGTTTGCCAATTTTGGCAACACATTATCCTTCTCTCGGATGGGTTTGACTATGCCATTATTGCCTTTGGAGAAAGGGCTCTGTCATTATTGGGCTATGTAAGTGTAAACATTATCACTAAGGGTTCAGAAGCAGTGAGCTAAGACTTTGAGCTGCAAAAGTCAGATTATAAAACTGGGGTCGCTGGAATGTTAAGAAAGCCCACATGAGACTAAGAGAACAAATAGCAATGGAAAATTATTTATAGAATTCAGATGTGTCAGATGTTGGGAACCAGTATCATACTGGAGAAAATATTCTATTGACATTGTGGATCTAGAGTACTGTATTTTTCGGAATATAAGATGCACTCTTTTCCCTCAAAAAAGAGGCTACAAATCTGGGTGCATCTTATACACTGAATAAAGTATTTTTTGCCTCCTGAAACCCTGCCCCCTTCACCAAAATGGTCGTCCAGGGAATGGATAGCCTCTAGGAAGCTTTTAGAGAGCTCCTGGGAGCTGGGGAGGGCAGAAATGAACAGAAAACCTTTTCGGTTTAGATGGTAGAATTAGTAACAGTAAACCTACCAGAAATACCACATTTGTCTGTTGGTAAAGAGCTCTTGCTACACTGATCCTTTGACGCTGACCTCCAGATAAATTAATACNCAAAGGATTATTGCATCTTGATCAGACTATGATGAAACTGCTGTATTATAAGGTAACGTAGCAACACAAGCAGCTTGTACTCCTAAGGTAAGGCAAATATTGATTATGTATATAACTTTTAAGTCAACTCCGGCCATCTGATTCATACATACAAGTGTATTTAACACTTGTAGTTTGGAATACACATATGGATTTTAGAAAACATTAATATAACCCGAAGCATTTTACAACATCCTTCCCCTTGCTTTTCCTTTCCATTAGATACTTAGCAGGGCAACTGAGTTGAACCATAAATCATGGTAAGAAGTTTTACAATTGTTTGTGTTCAGATATCAAAAATACATTACAAGTGGAAGCTTAAGTGCTTTAATATGTTGTCTACGATCGTAATAAAGATTTGATTTGATAAGTGGTTTAACTACAGAAAGAAATAGAAAAGACCAATGGGGTTGTAGGTCTTGAAATGATGCACCTTGCAATACAAGCTCTGCCTAATTTGGGTATGTATATAATTTGGGACACGTCTACAACATTATGAGGCCTGCACCACAATTCTGCAATACTGCTGGCATTGTTCTGATCCTCCTTGCTACTGTGGTAACTATTGGAAAGGATTTTTTTGCTTTTAGCAAAATTAATTGGATTTGGGGAGATTGCAGTGGTTCACAACTAAGAGTTTGTGACTATTTTCATATAATTCCTCTTCAATCAATTGAATTGTTTACTAAAACCAAAATTTCTCCAAGGTATGTGGTCAGTCTTTTCTCTTCAAAGACTTTAGGCTGCCTCTCTCTCAAATTTCCGAAAGAATGTCAGATTAGTTATAATTTGAACTGCTTTCCTTTTTGTACATTT